CTTTAAAAACAAATTTTAAAAAAAACAGCATCTGGCGACTTTGTCACAGTTATTAAAAGCCTGTTTGAAGATTTGGGTCTTCAACTCTCAGCAGAAGGATCAAAAGGAGGAAGATAATCTAAACTGACATGGGAGGGCATTCTACATACAACTTGGGAGCCGCCACAGAGAAGGCCCTTTCTTGTGACCCCATCAGAGGCATCTTTGATGGCAAGGAGGCCAAGAGGAAAGCCTCCTCTGAATGTCTTCAGGGCCAGGAATGTTCATATCAGGAGGATGTGTCTTACACATCTAGCCCTCGCTACATCTTCTCTCTAGACTCTCCAGTGGCTGCTTTTGATAGACAGTGTCTTGGGGGAAAAGCTAGGTGGGACTCCCGTTTACCTGGAGCATGGCCCTAAATCTTCTAGTCAAGGAGGCCAAGAGGAAAGCCTCCTCTGAATGTCTTCAGGGCCAGGAATGTTCATATCAGGAGGATGTGTCTTACACATCTAGCCCTCGCTACATCTTCTCTCTAGACTCTCCAGTGGCTGCTTTTGATAGACAGTGTCTTGGGGGAAAAGCTAGGTGGGACTCCCGTTTACCTGGAGCATGGCCCTAAATCTTCTAGTTCATTTCGTACAGGGCTTAGAAATGTTAATTTTGGGGGGAAAGGCATGTTTTCTCCATCTCTGGTTTCCTCCTTCCCCATCTCAAACTGTTGCCTGCTGTGCAACCCCGTACCTGCGGAGGAGGTATGCCGTGGAGACGTCTTTCTGATTTTCTTTGAGTAATCACAGACCCACTGTTCACAGCATTGGCCGGTCATCTTAATGTGCCTGGGGTTGGGGCACCAGACAAGGGGTGGCTTGGAATCGGTACACAGAGGTATACACCCCACCGCCCCATTGATGCACGTGCAGTTGTATTTACAGTTGGGTTGGAATGACTCGCCGTTCTTGTAGCGGATCCCATTGAGGAGACAGCCCACGCCGACTATTTCTGCAAAGGGGGACAAGAAAAGGGGTAAGCCAAGTGGAGAGGGGAGGTAGAGAAACATTTGGCTCACATCTGTGAAAATTCTCAGTCATCCAGATGAGGTTATCTGGAAGTTGAGTTGTGGCAACTGGACTTCTTAATTGTTAGGTTGAAACACTTCACTACTCATCCAAGTAAGTAGAAGTCCAGAAGTCTCAGAAAGAAAGAAGTCCAGTTGCCATGACTCAACTTCCAGATTTGGCTCACAGTAAGAACCTGCTGGATAGACTAGTGGTTTAAGTCCTTGGTTGGGAGTTCAATTCCCCACTGTGTCTCCTTGACAAGAGCTGGACTTGATGATCTGTAGGGTCCCTGCCAACAGTGCAGTTCTAAAAATTATTATTATTATTATTAGATGCTCAGGATGACTAGGCTCATGGATTAGATGGGATTGGCCCAGGATGTTTTCCTGCCTGAGGCAAAGGGCAATATAACACCCCAAGCTTTCTTGTTATTTTTGGACAATAGATTCCAGATTCCCTAGCCATCAAACCAGAATTCCCATCACTGGCCAGGCTGTTTGGGGAGGGGGATTGAGATTCTGGATATAATAGTGACTTTTCTGGACTACACCCTTGTCAAGCTCCAATGGCACCAAAGATGTGACAAATACCAACAGAACTTCTCGTCTTTGCTCATTTTTACCAGCTTTACACCTAGATAAGAAATACGACAGCCAAGATTCTGCACCTTCTGCTGAGAGTGAGACACAAAGGCTTTCATGCTGGGTCTCCATACTTTGCACAGAACGATTTCTCCCTTGCTTTCTCTAATATTGTAATAAACAACCAACTCAAGGCCTTAAAATGTCAAGTATCCTTAAAATTAAGGAGTGGCTTTCCAAGTTTTGCACGGAGTGATAGGGCATTATCACATGGAAAATCATCATTACAATTGCAGGAATTCTCAGCCACACCTTGTATGTAGAGGGAAGAATGTGTTGATCCTTTGGCCTGGCCTTTACATCCCTAGATGGCACCTCCTGCTTTCCTTGTCTTGCAGTTGAACCTTATGGATAGGATCTTCTACCATGCCTGAAGGTTGTTCTCTAGTTGAGGTGTTGCATCATAAGCTCCGGGGGGGGGGGGGGCGTTTTGTCCTCTGAGGTAGGATCATAGCTGGATATCCAGGAAGAATATTTAGAGCAGTGATTCCCAACCTTGGGTAACCCTGGTGTTCTTGGACAACACGTCCCAGAAATCCTGGCCAGCACATCTAGTGGCACAGGCTTCTGGGAGTTGCAGTCCAAGAACACCTGGGCTATCCAAGGCTGAGAACCACCGTGGTTGAGCAACCACCCCTAAGGCATCTTACTTGAGTGCTTTACAAATCAAGAAAGGAGTTCTTCAGAGCAACCTCACACAGCCATCTTCTTGAAGGTATCTGGGACGCTTCCCTCCTGGAAGCGGCCAATTGGCCCATCTGTGTTTGTAGCCAATCAGTCAACTGTCTTAGCAACAGCATCCAAGTTGAGGTGAACACAAGTGATGGCTCTCTTGGAAAGATTCCATGCTTATAGAAACTCTTTTCTTCAGACCCTGTTTTCTACACTAAGAAATGCTAGCAGAAGGGGTGGGGCAGCACACTCTCCTCCTGTATGTTGTCTAGTCATAGTGAGTAGCACCTAAATCAGAGCTCAGAACTTCAATTTTTAAGAGGAACTCTTGATCTTACTCATTACCTCTGGGAAGCTGCTTTGATTTTTATCATTGTTTTGATTACACAATTTATTGTGTCCCATGTTGTTAGCCTGTTGTGTAATAATTGTCAGCAGGCTACAGATTACTATCTGGATCCGTCTAGTGGTCAATTTTGATACTGCATCCTGTAAATATTTATAAACAAAACAACAACAACAAGTCTTTGAACTGTAGAACTGGAAGGGACTCATATAGATAATTAAGTCCAGTCCCTATGAAAGAGTCATAGGGAGGAACTGAAATGCTCTGGCTTTGTGGCCAGATACCTAGACCAGTGAGCAATTCAGCACATTATTAACCACCCCCAAATTAACTAGTAAAAGACAACACTGTTACTTGAGACAAATGAATTCCGTTGGCTGGACCGAATAGGGCCTATGCAGAGAACCAATAGAAGCAAATGATAAAAACTCATTTTGATGGTCTGTTAAGAGGATGAAGAGAGCTGTGGTAGATCAAGCTGATGTCCAGATTCTGTTAACTATGAACCGATGATTTCAAGATCCTTGTTATCCCAGACCATTGTGGTTCTTCATCTTTAAATCAGAACTCAACTGGACAGCCCTTCAAAAGGAGAATACTCTCAAAGATGTCCTTCTACCAGCTCTTCAAATGGAGGACTGCCCATCCTATCCCAAGGACATTTGGCCACCATGCCCAGTGGCCAAGATAACAGGAAGTTTTGGTGACTGTCCCTGAAGAATATAATTTTTCTGAAATTCGGCAAGTGGCAGAGAAAACAAACCTGGGCAAAATTTTGTTCAGGAAAACCTTCAAGTGGTTTGAACAGCTGTGTCGAAATGGAGAGCTGGAAATTCAGGTGAACTCTCTGGGCTCGAGAAGAGAAACAAACACAACCTTTTCCAGTTTCAAGTTCATGAAAGTTTGCACAAATGTATACAGTAGACACCGGGTGGTTTATTATTATTATTTTTTCCAGAGCAAAACTCTTCTACATTTAAAAAAAAACACACACAACCCACCATAATGCTTACACAGCAGACAAAAATTAGGATTAGGTCAGATGCTGCTATTTCTCCATCTCACAAACAAAACTGCAAACTGGAGTGAGATGGTGTGTGTGTGTGTGTTTTGTTGATTTTGCTTTTAAATCAGCCTGGAAAAAATTTCCCCTCAAATGAAACCTTGTTACAAGAAGATCTGTGCGCATGGTTTCCCCTCAGCCTGGTCAATATTGTGAAAGGCTCTGAAGTAAAACAAAGTCTTCACTAGACCTTATTTGACACACACTGGAGTGTGTGGAGTGAAATCTGAAACTAGACAAGTTAGAAACTTTAATTTTCTGGAACAATAAGTAACAAAGACTTTAAACTGATGTTAACTGCCAAAGATCCTAAGACATATGGCACCCGTTTCACCGAAAGGAGAGAAGACTAGAGATGATCACAGACATATTTAAACAGTGATGTTCAGGTTCATCAAAACTGTTCTTAGCAAAAATACAGTCTCATGACCTAGACCTATTTGGGGTGCAGTATCCAAGTACGATTTGTGGCTGAGGAAACACAAAACAGGTCCTGATTACAGAGGGTCCCCACTCAGTAGATGGGGACTTACAATCCAAAATTCTATATGTGGAGCCAGATCTACTTCTGGTCCACATCTCTTTGAGTCAAATGGCACAATATGCTTATTATAATAGAAGTGCTCCCCCTAGTGATTAAACATGTCTGTTACTGCATTTCCTCACCTATGTGTCTTGCATTTAACGTGTGCTGATTTGTGATTGATCACTGGAAAGTAAACTTGGGCTTAATTTGCAAATCTGATTGGTGAAGCACATACCTCTGGGGAAATCCTGTTGTGAGGAAAAGATGGATTAATTGTAGGGAATACACATTCCTCATAATATGTACCTTAACCCTTTTGCTTAAGTTTCCCCATAGTGGCTCCTGTTGCTCACTGCAATGAGTTGCACTAGGGCAGGCCCACTGAATCAGAAGGAACTGAGCAAGCCAATTCCTCCATAGGTTCCTCTGATTCAAATGGGCTTCTCTAGTTGTGACTTGCTATGCTAAAGTATGGCACAACTAGAGTAGGCCAATTTGAACGAATTTAACTTACAGAGGAGTTCACTAACCAAATCCCCACTGATTCAATGGGCTTATTCTAGTGTGACTTACTACCCTTAGCAACAGGATTTCAGCCACTGTGTACCATACGGTATTATTCTGTGATTTATTTAGGTTTTAAAGTTTCAATGTATGAACAACGGAGGGAATTATAGGAAGCCCAGCCTATTGGGCATTATGATCAGCAAACCTGCTAAGGAACATCCACAGATAAAGACTTAGAGTTTCTCCCTTTGACCTCAAACCAGTTGCAGCGATCTAGCAGGAGACTCAACCCAGTTTTTCAGTAGAATGACCCCTTTCCTGCTTAAATTTTGAAACCCCTGCTTTTGTTGCTGGCTATTGGTTTTGTAAGATGTGGAAATAACTGCAGGAATGCCATCTGCACTTATGTACAACTAAAAAGAATATTATGGTGTTTCATAATGTCATACTAACCAATGTATTGAAGGCTTTCTACATGTCTATTTCAGCTGAATTGATCTATTAGTATTCTCAGGCTGAATTTAACCAGATTGAGTGATGCTTCTCCTGCAAGGTTTGCTTGCAACACCTTAAATTTGAGTTACACACAACTTGCAGTTTTAGCAAAACTTAGGATGCAATCCTATCTTCTGCATGCTTTCTTTAAAGTTAAGTTCACTAAATGCAGTGGCACTGCTCTTGAGTAAGTGTGTATAAGACTGGAGTCAGAGTTATGTTAAAAAGATTCAAGGAAAATAAAGCACACTCTTTTAAATCAGCCTCTTGAATCGGGCAAGATTTATTTTGCACCAAAGACCTGGCTGATCTTGCTAGCCACGATCAAAACAAACTGAAAAAGAGGGAGGAAATATCGTAAATGAGGTTGCAAAGTTCAAATAATTTGCAACAGATGAAATGAGCTCTATGGCAAAGTGCTTTCCCTCCATTTAGCCATCTTTGCATAGGTTTATTTTGCCAATAATTTTGCCAAGGAAAACAGAAATGAAATTTGGCTGGAAGAAAGCAAGCAGAAGGAAGGATAGCGACTTTGAAACAAAAAGTCCCCATGTTAGAACTGTTGCGGAGTCTTGAATTTCTGCTTAAACTTCCTTTGTTAGACAGCAGAAGGACAGAGATTTACAGAGGAGAAAAGCTTCAAGGTTCCCCGATAAGCCACCCTTTTTCATTCACCGGCACTTACAGTTCCGATAACGCAAAAACGAAAAAAGCAAAGCGTGCTGCTTATATACTGACCCATAGTGCTTCAAGCACTCTTTCGGCAGTTTACAAGTTAATTATGCAGGCTACACATTGCCCTCCACCCCCAAGCAAGTTGAGTACTCATTTTATTGACCTTGGAAGGATAGAAGGCTGAGTCAACCTTGAGCCAGCTACCTGGGATTGAACCCCAGGTCGTGAGCACAGTTTTGGCTGCAGTACAGCAGTTCAACCATTGTGCCACGAGGCTCTTCCACTGAGGTACTCATCCTATTAGTAGCAGAAAGAAGCAAAACATTTCCTTGCTCACAGTTGGAAACAGCAAACAGCAAAATAACTTAGCAAACTGCTTCCAATAAATTAAGACAGAGAAAAAAAGGAACACAGGCCAGAGAGGGCAGGACTCTCTTTTGAATTCAGAGGTCCATGCTGGATCGATCAACAGCCATCTCAGCCCAGAAACGTCCCTCCCACCCAAAACACGCTATGGGTAACATGTGAGGCAGTCAAGACTCCAGCAAATAGAAGGAGAATCGGGAGATATGGATGGATGCAAGAAGAGACTGGAGGCACCTTCAGATAGTGCAAAAATGTATGGACAATACATCACTTACGTGCACACACTCCTATTTCGTACCTAGGTCTGTCTCTGCTGTAGTCGCAGTAAAGGCCCCGGTGGACGTCACAAACGTCAGCCTCGGTGCAGTTCTCTCCTGCCTGCTTGGCACACATCTTGCAGCAGTCACAGCCGTCCGTGAGCAGGCTGATGCCCGTCGGGCATACGGGGACCGCCTCGGGGCACTGGCATGGCCACTTACAGTACTGTTTCCGGGTGTAAGCCTCGGTCGCCGCGGAGGTGGCAGGGGGCAACATGGTCGTGGTGGTGGTAGGGTTGGTTGGAGGGGCGGTGGAGTTCTGGGAAGTGGCCTTTGGAAAAGAAAGCACATCAGAAAAAAGGGCATTAGGATCATGGGGAATCCAGTGGCTGATTGATCAAGTCTTCTGTGAAGTCTCTGCCCCCCTCCCCCCGTGCACCTTGCTTATCAATGAAATATGGGCAAGTTTATCCACACATTCGGCAATAAAGCAACACCACTGGGCCAATGTCATGTTACTTGACAAATGAAATTAAGACGTTAGGGGTCCATTTGTGCCCCTTGGTTTGCTGTGCGATTTTTTTTTAAATGGCCCTGTACTCTAGTGGAGTCATCAGCTTGGATTTTCAAGGGAGGCAGGGGGAAGAAAACACCACCATGGTGTCATTATTAGCTAGATCATTCTGTCTGCCTACATCTCTGATCTTCAGCTTCCTCTCAACAGGTCACGCCAAGGTCTGATGGGTTTCCATTGCTCATTCCTCTGAGAGGCTTATTCTTGTCCTGCCTTTAGCCAACTCCTGAGAGAAAGTCCTCTTCACACCTGCTGGGAATTGCTCTGAATTTCCTCTGAATCATATCTATCCAGTTTCCCAGTAGCAGATGCCGAGAACAATACTGGAGTGCTCATAATCAGAGGAGCAAGACTAGGCTGGCTTTTTGTGACCCAGTCTGTCCATTCAGTGGGCCAACATCTGTATTGATTTGGGATTTATTTATTTTTTTAAAGTTACTTTCTAGGATCCACAGTTCTCATGGGTGTGCTTTGCTCTTCTTGTCTCCTCCCTTAAAATCCTCCAATTGTAATGCCAGATTTACCCTGAACAACTTTAGGTTTCATGCAAGTGGTTCGTTTTGGTTTCCAATGGAATAACGAACAAGCTTCACTTCTGCAGCTTAGAAAGTCAACATCTCCAGCTGCAGGGCAGGAGAATCCAACAATTCCCTTTCTTGATGGCACGTGACCTCAATTTAGAGGTAGTTGGTGCATTCCATCAAAGCACCTCATCCAGTTTTTTGAAGGTCATAAGCCAAGCAAAGGCCATGTAGAAAATTACGCTGCAATTCCTCTCAGTTCCTTTTGATCACTGAAGACTAAAGTACTTTGACCTGGCTTGTCTCTAAATAAGAGAAAGGAAAATTTATTCTTCTACTGTTTCACTACAGAGTTCAGGTGATCCGAGTGAGAATATATTTATTTGTTTTATTTTTATTTTATTGGATTTCTATCCCGCCCATCTAGACCAAAGGTCTACTCTGTGCAATATACATGTGCAGACATGCAGATGGGACATGCATGCCATCTCCCCCTCTAGTGCCATATTTAGGAGAAAGGCGGCATGTAAGCAAGTAAGTAAAAAAAAAAGTAAATGAATGAATGAATGAATATTTTTGTGTAGAAAGTGAGCATTAAAATATACAAGAGCAGGCGATTTTCACTTCTTTCCCTTTTCTTATGGCACCACCTAGTGGTACAGGTGCATGATACAGTTTTCCTTCCTGCACGCAGTTGATAAAGATTGGAATATAACACAGAACAAATCACAACCACCTTTTAAGAACAGCAGCAGAGCAGCAGCCCACCGATAACACACCACCCCCATGAAAGTAACCTTTATGCTAAATTCAGAATTCTACACTGCAGACTGGCACCAGAGACGAGACACCAAAAAACTAAGTATACACAGAAAAGGGAAGACATACAAAGAGAACTCTAAGATTGGAATATAACACAGAACAAATCACAACCACCTTTTAAGAACAGCAGCAGAGCAGCAGCCCACCGATAACACACCACCCCCATGAAAGTAACCTTTATGCTAAATTCAGAATTCTACACTGCAGACTGGCACCAGAGACGAGACACCAAAAAACTAAGTATACACAGAAAAGGGAAGACATACAAAGAGAACTCTCTCTCTCTCTTCATCAGTTTTAACATAGATAATGGTGAGGGATTATGGATTATGTAATGCAACACATCTACCAAGGACCAAATTGGGGGGGGGGAGGGTTTATGTGATCTCTCTCTCTCTCTCTCTCTCTGTGTGTGTGTGTGTGCATGCGCCCATAGATATTATAGAATAGTGAAAAAGTGAGTGTAAGGATAAAACACTGATACACAATTTTTTTTCTCATTCACTCAGTATGCATGAACCCAAGGTTAATTCAATTAAGGCAAATGGTAGTTAATCTAGGACAGGCAAAAGTAAGGAATTTGTTACACATCCTGTAGTTAAACTGGAATTTGCTGCCACAAAGCATACTAATAGCCACCAACATGGATGGCTTTAAAAGGGATAATAACAAAATTCCTATGGGATCACCTTATCAGTCACTATAAGGAGTGCTGCAGTGCTCCATTTAGAAGTAATGGTTTCTTAACCATGATAGCCCTCACAGCCAGTTCTCTCCTGAAACAAAAGTCAAAAATTTGCAAAAATTCAGCCAATTGGATCCATCCTTACCAACAAATGAGTTCGAACAGATTTGTTTCTACCAGGAACAGGTCTTTTGTAAAACTAATGACTCTTTATTGCCTATACGAGACCAAACTACCCTCAAGTTCTTTGCACCACAAGAGGGATAATTTGCAACTAGAGCTGAGTAAGAATGTGTGATAGTAGCTGAGCACCGTTTGTGACAAATCATCTGAACTAGTAAGTAGTGAGGGGACGTGGTGGCGCTGCGGGCTAACAAGATGGATAATTTGCAACTAGAGCTGAATAAGAATGTGTGATAGTAGCTGAGCACCAATGTTTGTGACAAATAATCTGATCTAGTAAGTAGTGAGAGAAAGACAGCCACCAGCCAGGTAGTGTTAAGTATCTCCACCTTTCCGTCTTTTCAAGTAACAACTCATTAATGTATAGGTTGCTGTTCTTAGACCCTATTTCCTTCCTGTTTCTTCTACAAAATACTGATCTTTCTTTCTTTCTTTCTTTCTTTCTTTCTTTCTTTCTTTCTTTCTTTCTTTCTTTCTTTCTTTCTTTCTTTCTTATACAGCTCTGTGTAAACTAAGTGTTTTCCTTGCATTTAATTCTGAGTGAATGCCTAAAACCAATGAAGTGTAAGTTTTCCCTTTCAGTTCTAGCTCCCAGACTATTCTTTTTCTTTTAATAGGTTCAAAGGTAGCACTAAGCCGCTCTGCTCTGCTACTACAAACTCTCACTGTTTTTTTACAACAGACGGGGGGGGTGTGTGGCCCAATAAGGGACTGCACTGCTGAACCACACCAGAGATTCAGAATTGGGACCCATTAGATGCCAAAAGGTGTCTCATCTTGAACCAGATCTAGATGAATAAAAGAAAAAGCTACTACAGTAGGACCATCTTGTCCACATGATCAGTATTTGCTGGTTCCCTTATTCACAATCTGAAAATATTAAGATTATTAAAAGAAAAATCCAAGAAATACCTATTTCTAAAGATGAAATTGCCAGAACTGGTCACTAGAAGGTGAAAGAGACCATGCTATGTATAGTATTTCTATAGAAATATCAACAACAACAAAACTAAGATCATGGCCAATGTTCCTGTCACCTCCAGGCAAATAGAAGGGGAAGGAATGGAGGCAGTGACAGATTTTATTTTCTTGGGCTCCAGGATCACTGCAGATGGTGACAGCAGCCACGGAAATAAAAGACGCCTGCTTCTTGGGAGGAAAGCAATGACAAAACCTAGACAGCATCTTAAAAAGCAGGGACATCATCTTGCCAACGAAAGTCTGCATAGTCAAACTTATGGTTTTTCCAGAAGTGATGTATGGAAGTGAGAGCTGGACCATAAAGAAGGTTGACCGCCGAAGAACTGATGCTTTTGAGTTGTGGTGCTGGAAGAGACTCTTGAGAGGCCCCTGGACTGCAAGGAGATCAAACCTATCCATTCTGAAGAAAATCAACCCTGAGTGCTCACTGGAAGGACAGATCCTGAAGCTGAGGCTCCAATACTTTGGCCATCTCATGAGAAGAGAAGACTCCCTAGAAAAGACCCTGATGTTGGGAAAGTGTGAAGGCAGGAGGAGAAGGGGACAACAGAGGACGAGATGGCTGGACGGTGTCATCGAAGCGACCTAACATGACTTTTACCCAACTCTGGGAGGCCGTGGAAGACAGGAGGGCCTGGCGTGCTCTGGTCCATGGGGTCACAAAGAGTCGGACACGACTAAACGACTAAATAACAAAGAGAAATATATTTCCATGGTGTCATTACTAGAGTTGACCACTAGAGAGAGGAAAAGACCATGCTATGTACAGCATTCACTATTAAAATAGTGTCCACTGTAATCTTCATTTTTTCAGCATTTGCAGGGGGAGACATTTGGAACTGGTTCTCCTATTGATATGACAGTCTACTGTACTGAATAACTAGGAGTGTTTCTACGTTACACAGCTGTAGCAGTCTCATTCCATTTGAACTTTGAATTCTCCCCCAGAGAGTACTATTGCTGGATCCTCAAATACAACACGGAATTCTGAGTATCTCAGCAAACTACAGACCCCAGGATTCCATAGGACAGAGCTGCGGTAGTTAAAAGTGTCACCAAACTGCTGTTAACACTATAATGTAGACACACTGTGTAGGAATCCTTCAGGGTGGTCATTTCCTTAAACTTAGCAAACAGAAAGGAATGTAAGTTTATGTTACTCATATTTTTTGAATGCAAAATCAATGCCAAATGCTTTAAAAAAAAACATCTAATGGATTGTCCTACGGGGACCAAGATAACTGATTAGAAAGAATTGTTATTTTTAACTGACACGCAATTCCAATTTCCAGTTGCATCATGCAGTGATAATGTCTGTGGGAACTATGTGGCGAAGTCAGAAGTCAGCAGCGGGTTGTTGGTGTTTTGTTTTTTTAATATTAGAGATTTCAAAATATATGGAATTAAAATGAGAAAACGAGGGACCACATACATTCCTTCTGGCTAACATGCTGCTTAGTTTGGCACCCACCCTTAGAACCTCAACATTCTTGTACGTTTGCCCAGAAAAGCCACAGTTTCGTTGTCGATGTCTTCTTTTTCTGTTCAGTCAGGCAGAAAGAATT